AGGGTAGAGTTTATTTTTGCTTTTAATTCTCCATTTGCTCCTTGGGCAACTTTATTAATTATTGCTTTCAGTTTCGTTCATATTGTCATCAATTTCGTTTGCTTCATGGATTGCAATCCACCGACGTGGCGTGTCTTGAATCCACCGGGACACATTCCATATGATTGAATATTGGTTCCTTTATATATAAGTTTTTGAGGAAATCTAACGGATCCTCTCAATAGATTAGTTAATACTGTCTATGTGGTTTAATTTGGTAACTGTCTTCTGTTATTGCCTTTGTTACAATATTTGGTCACGATCAATTATTCCAGAAACCCACATATGGGAAGCATAACATTTATTCCTTTACTGCATACTACAAAATTTATCTAAGGTATTATAAAATTGTCCTTTTTCCTCATCTTTATAGACTTTTGTAATCTTATCTACTTTATATTTCTATTGGAAAATAATTTTTTTTAGCGGAATTCAGAATGTTTACATATATGCGAATACTTATTTATTTGTTACCTTTTCTGTTTAAATACGGTATTTAAATAATTTAAACTCATTATTTCTACCAATAATTGCGATCGATTCTGATATACAATGGATTTACATACATCTTCCATACAGAAGTACGGTTTCGGTTTATAAAATTTCTTATATTCAAAATATCATTACAAGGATTTGCACAAATATATTTTGTTCTGTTATTCAATACTTTTAGTGCAGTTAGCTAGCATTTTATTTTCTATATTGTACACATATTTCATTTGATTGTGATAAAAGTGATATTTACTTACCTAAAACCAAGTTTGAAAAATTGAAACATTTAATTTTTTTTAATTATTTATTTTGTTATTGTTGCATGCACGAAAATTGTTAATATTTATTAAGTTTTACACTTACACAATATTTTAAATATTCAATTAAACTTATATATTATTTGATTTTCTTGTGGATTACAACAAATAATTAAATGTAAATAACTTTCTTTGTCGGTATCTTGTTCTGTACTTGATTAGCTGCATTTGTAAGATTGTATATTTGAAATGGAAATACATAATACATATACATATACATATACATATATATGTGTATAGGTTATACGTATATATGTATTTAGTTATAAACAATATGGATTATTGTTTTATATATCAATGAGTAAATGTAGAAATATTATAAACATGCAAATTCTTATCACTTTATTTAAATCTTAATAATTATTAATTTTTATAGTTTCTGTGAATATAGTTATATACATGTTTATAAATATATTATATATATTTATTTTACATCAAACACATTTTACATTAATAATAATATTACATTAATAATAGCATTACATTAATAATATTAATTTTATATTATAACTTGTATTTTGGATGATTTAATTAATTTTGTACATTTGGATTACCTAGAATTAATAATATTTTGATAAGGCATAGGTATCGATCATAGGAATTAATATCATCTTATCCTCTGTAAATATTTGGTATAGGATTATAATTTCATTCTGTATGGTCGTATATATAATATTTGAATTTTAACAATTTTGTTATGTTTTTATTTATAACAACATAACACAACATTACAATAAATTATAATAATTTAATTAATTATATTATTATTACCCAAATTATTATTATCGGTTTTCACTCTCTTGAGCAACATTTAGGGCATTTAGGTACTCGAAATGTAATCTGTTGCTTCCCATTTGCGCTTTTGGTGTGTTACTCGGTTATCGAGTTTGTTACAAGTGATCGTGAACACCTCTTTTATTATTTTATTTAATATATTATTAATTATAATGTTATTTTTAATATTTTTTTATTTTTTTATAAAGCGTACCTACAAATCTACTCTTATTCCTCTTTTAATAATTTAAACAATATATAAAAGTTAGCGTAATTCAATTTATTATATATAGCATATTTATTGTATAGTGATATAGTGAATAAATTATTATCAGAAGAGTAGGAATATAATATTTTATAAAATAAAAACGCGTAAAAAATTTATGAATAAATATTTTAATATATAAATCAAATGAAATAATTTTAATGTCAGTGTATTGCAAACAATTTGTTGACACTATGTTTAAATGTTTATTCACACTTATAAGTGAAATACAGAAGAATTTAGAACTCAGTTAAAAAAATTGATTTTAGTCTATTAATGTCTATTAATTGTATATATTTGGTTATGAACTATTTATATTTAATAATAGATTTGTACGAGGAGAGGGAAAAGTTTTTTTATTCTAAACATTTTTAATTATCTCTTCATTTAATTATTTGTTTCTTTTATTGTTTTAACTATAATTTTTTTTAAGTTTTATATTTTTATGAAATTTGTTTTTTATTTTCTCTCTCTTTCTTTAAATTTATTTTATTATATTTTCGTTACATTATATTATATTTTTTTATTACGAGTACGTTGTTTATTACACTGTACATAATTATTATTTATTATGAGATTAAAAACTTATTATGTGTGATTTTAAATAAATTTTGCTAAGTATTTTATTAGATTTAAAAAATTTTTATATTTCAGTTTTTAATACAAATTATTTACTTTCAATCTTATAACATATATTATTTACTGAATATTATTATTTAATTTTTATTTTTCACACAAATTATTTCTTTGTTCTATTATTTATAGCTCCCTATATTTTATTATATGTAATTGTTTGTAACATATTTTGATTTATTTTTATTTTTATTGATTTTTATATAAATTATATAAATTGAAATACAATTTTTTAATCAATGTGTATTTTTAAATTTATTTATTTTCTCATAATATTATATATACATAAAGTATTATTTCTTACTTCAATCGATACCCATGCCCCGCTTAATTACTTTTGTTTTTAAAAAATTAAATGGCATAAGTGTTATAAACTTTTATTTTGGTAATAACAAATTCATATTTGGAATTTGTTATATATAACTTTTTGTTTTTTGTTATTGAAGAATAAGTATTTTGTTAATTTTTGTTATTTTTTTTTATATCAACATATAGTTTTCAATTCAGCGGCGGGGTAACTTCTCTCAATAGTTTTCCATATTCTTGAATTTTTTCTGGGATCTTCAATTAACGATGTCTACAACATTTTATTTAAAGAACTGTTCCTTCTGTTAAAATTAAAATTATATGAAATTAAATACTTTACATATATATGAGAAAGAAATCAGTCGTAAATTTTTTTAATGACACTTTAGTTAGATTAGCATAAAATTTTTGGTATATTAGTTTGGTTAAATATTTTTCTTAATAGTAGTTTTATTTACAATTAAAATCTTAAAATTTGAACGAATAAGTTTATTAATACATAATATTCACTTATAATTTTGAAGTGAAAATTTAAGTCAGTCAAAACATATATAATATTTTTAAAAAATTTTAAAATTTTAATTAATATAAACATTAAAAATAAAATATTTTACTAAAACTAAACCTAAAATATATTTATTTTTTATATATTCATATTGATTTAGTATTACATTGCATACATTATTCAATATTATAGTTTCGGGGATTATTCTATTAATTTAAGGTTGAAAATTTTTAACTTAAATAAATTTCATGATCTGTATTTAGAACTGACCTCGTCTCTCTCTCAAACTAAAACTCTTTAATATATTTAATGAAATAATCATATATGAGTAACATATATTATATTACAAAATGTTTTTATCATATATATCTTATGGATCTATATATCTTATGGATTAATCTATTTTTAATCTAACATGTATATTAAATAAATATTATATTGAAAGGTATAAGTTTTGTTCTTTGAAAAAATTCCTACAGGAGAATAATATGTATTAATAATATTAACTCGTACAGAGGTTCATAATATATTTTTATACATATATTCTTTAAAAAAGGTACTTGAAATAGAGGACATTAAAACCGGAAAAATTTATATATGGTTAATAACAATGTTTTTATATAAGACTTTAAATTCCATTTAAAGAATTAGTCATATAAACGATATGGAAAATTTCTGTTAAATAATGTACTCGTATTAGAGACGGGTAATGGGTTCTGTTGTATCTTTTCCAAAAAATAGAAATTATTTAATACTATTAAATCATTGCAGGATTTTTAAAGAAGTGTGTTTATCTTATAGGATATTTAGGAAAAATTTGAAATTGCTTACAGTGGAAATTTTATTTACAATGGTGTTAATTTATTTCAATAATGTAGAATTTCTCTTATAAGTGATTTCGTCTATAGAGTTTTTAAGTAATAGAGAGAAAGCTAGACTAAAATTTGTCGGTGTATCGGATTTTGAGCATATTCGAATAATAAGCAATTAATTGAACCCCTTCGCACTAGCGGGGGTAAGTGAAGAAACACAGCAATTTTTGTTGCGAAAAACTGAAGAGGTGTAATCATTTTCTCTCTAAAAATAGAAACCGGTTTCAAGCGTCAGGTTGTCGCTAGTACAAATAAGCAAATTGCCTTACTGCAAGACATGCCTTGGGTTATCGTGAGTACTACAAAAGCAAGTACCTGTAACTTATGTATGACTTACGTTTAACCTGCAATAAGGTGGAAAGAGGAAAGAAAGGAAAGAGCTAGTTCTTAAAAAAACAACTTAAAGGATTTTTATTAAAATCTAAATAAAAATTCGTAAAATAATAAACACTTTTGATTTGTTGTTAGTTAGCACTTTAAATAATTTTATATAGTTTTGTTAGTGATGAAACTTGAACTAGATTATCAATATCGCTAAATTTATGATAATCTCAAAATCTTTTTGCTGATATATTCATAAATTAACTACTGATAAATTACCCTGCATATCCCTTGTAGTTTGACGAAGTCTTAAGATGAAAAACTCGATAATTCGAATTTGAAATTCAATTTTAAAAATATTTTTTAACAGAATGATCCTACAATTTAGGTTTATTTACTATGCAACACCATATTCTTTATGATTAGTTATATATGAATATATAATGTTATCTATATTAGGCTGGTCTTTACTTGCAGGTATTTTAGGTATATCAGGAATGCAATGATTTAAAACAGAAAAATACTTAATTGATATTACTTATATTCATTAACAAAGTAAATAAACGTTTGATTTTTCTCTAAATATATTGCAATGAATTTGGAGTCAATTATTTAGATTTCAGCAGCATTACCTCGTAATACCGAAAATCTCTGTCTTTTAAAACTGGCACCGTCCGCTCTTCGACTAATTGCCTTTAAATTTGTAGTTGGTTCAAAATACCTTCTATTTGTTTGATTGTACTTGCGACTCTGTATGGCTAAATCGTCCAGTAATAGCTCATTGGAGGACTTTGAACGTTTTGGCAAATGATTGAGAACACTACGTAGTGGACTGCAAGTGGTCGTGCTGTTTGATACTGAGGCCGAGCTTCTATTTATTTGAGATTTTTTGGTGCCAACAGGTAACCGACTTTTAATAGTGTTATGCTGGGGCGTAAGAACTGGAGGTGCAGGTGCTGGTGGTTTAGTTTGTTTACGTAACTTTAAGTGCTTAACGAATGACTGACTTAATGTGGAGCCCCGCAAGAAATCGTTATCCATATTGTCCGTATTTTCTTCGCCTTCTACTTCACGGTGCAAGTCCATTTGTGGTGGAAACTTGTGCAGGCTGCTACTTGCTGTTGGCATTTTTACATTTAGCTGCTCACGTTTCAGTAAATTATCAGATGGAGTTTTACTTAGTATGTGCTTTGGTTTAATTTGTGTGGACTTCAAACGGTCAAACAAATTGCTTACTGTGGTGGCACGTTCTTTTTGTGCCGATAGCGGCATTATGGCGCGTCGACTCGGCACTTGTATGCCATTACCAAGCCGTTTGCTGTTGTCATCTGCAAGTGTATGTATGTGCGAATTTGATTTACTCAATAGTGGTGGTGGTGGTGGTGCTGGTTTTTTATGTGCGAGCGTTGTTAGTCGCTTAGGCGTATTACCAGGACGTCCAAAATTGTTAATATCATTAACACTAGCAGCTTTGAAAACATCGTCGTCGAGTTCACTCAAACTTACCAAATTTTCTTCGCCTGGTGTCAGTGAATTGCTTGTCACTGCATTACCACCGCTGGTAAATTCGTCATCATTATCACCATCACCATCACAATCACCATCATCATCATCTTCATCTACGCCACTATAACCAGCAAAGATCTCATCAAAAGCGGCATTGACAATGACAGTCTCATCTTCGTCATTACTCAGCTGTGGACTATTATTGTTGCACATCTGCGCTGCACTTTGGCTAGCAAATTTTCGGCTGGGTATGGTGCCGAATAGATTCTTACGATAATCCTCGTCTATGTTGTAATATTGCGCAGCAATTGCTGTCAAATCGTTAACATTGCTGTCAGTGCTGTCGTTGCTGCACTCATGTTGCCGCTGCAAACTCAATGTGCTGCGTTTAATTGGACTTATGTTGGCCATGTGCGCAGTGGTCAGGGCTTGTGTGCTTGAGCTGTTCATATGCGTTAGTTGCGGCGTTAGTGTTAGTGTGTTGTGCCTATCGTGCAATAAATTGCTGTCATATGACGACAACAATTGTTGTTGACTTTGTTGTAAGAGTTTTTGACGCGTTTCATGTGATTTACGCTTTAGCTGCTGATATTTATTGTTGCTGGTGCCATGTGTGGTACGATTCATAGTTGTATTTGCTGCATTTGTTGTAATTGCTGTTGTTGTAGTTGCTGTTGTTGGTGGTGCAGTACACAAAATCGTGTTATTATTATGATTACTATACTTACTGTATTGCTGCTGCTGTTGCTGCTGCTGTTGTTGCTGTTGGTGTTCGAGTTGTTGCTGCTCAGCTTGACGACGTTGCATGGCCATCGTTTCGAAAGTATGCACTACACTGCCAACATGCGTACTAATCTCAGGTATACCTAAATCGCCGCTAAACATATCGCGCTGATGACGTTGGTGGCTTGTCAGCAATTCTCCACCACTGGCGCGCTTATTAACGGTAGTTATGCCGGGTGTCTTTTTGTATAAGGTACCAGCGGAAGCACTCGGTCTAAGCAGTGCCTGTGAGCGTGGCCTACGACGCTGCGGAAATTGTTCAACGAACTCGGCGGCTTCCTGCTGCCACAACAGGTTGCCATAATTGTCGAAAACATTGGCTGTGGTGCTGGTTGTGGTCTAAATGAGCGCATTATATATGGGCATATGTATTTTGTATGTATGTATGCGGTAGTGTTTGTTTGTTTGTTTGTGTTGGTTGACAATTGGAATATTTCATAGACAATTGGAATCCCATATGGAAATTTAAATAAAAAATTTAAATTAAATAATATTAAATTTTTGAAAATTAATATATAGTGGCTGGTGAGCTTTACTTCAACTTTATAAAAATGTATATGATATATTTTTTTTATGAGGATGAATTCACATAAATTTACACAATTATACATAAATTTGAGAAATTTCAATCTAAGTTAATTAAGTAGCTAAAATATGAATAAGATTTTAATTTTTTCACAAATATTTTAATTACTAATATTGTTTATATTTGTTTCACTACAACAGTGAATTATGCATTTCTTCAATGAGTTCACATGTAGTATATACTTAAGAGATAATACTAGTTTTCTCCTCATTATAATAAATATATATTTATACATATATAACCTTTTACTATTTATTATTCATATGTAATTAGCTATAAAGTAATCAGTTAATACCACCAACTTTATTAAGTACTTTGAGGCTATATTTAATTTATTTGGTTTTTATTTCATTATTTCATGTTTTATTTTAGTGCTCAGCTAAAAAAAAATCCGCTTCAAAAATTTTTTACATATGTGAAAAGCATTTTACTATAAAAATTATAGTTATAAATTTAAATTAATTTTTTTAAATAATTTCATAAAAAATCACAACTTTACCACCAAAATCACTGCACTTATTAAGGATTTAAGTGTATTTATGTCAAATGCTATTTACGAGTATCTAAAAAAAGATTTGCATATGTGGTTTTCTTCTGTATATGATTAAAATGACAGTGTATCAGACCCAGAAAAATGTTTTCATATTACCAGAATAGATAAAAAAAACGATTAATAATCAAAAAAAAATTGTTAATAATTTATGGAAGAATAGTATCGATTTCTTAAAATGATAGAAGAATAGTTTTTATTTAATAAAGAAGAGGAATGATACAGCAATTAGTCAAATGTCACCAACCAACTTATTGAATAGTGGAATTTTAAATATATTTTAAAAATAGAGGATACATTCTTGTAACACTTTTCCTTGATATACCTTCATAGAAAGACTTGGTTACTTTCTAAGATACAACCTATATACACTTCATAGCTAAATATTTCGATGTAATTAAAAGGCAAATGACTTTTATTAGAAATATATGACAGTTTACAATTATATTTTTTATTAATCTTACTGTTATTCTATATGTTGAGTTTAGCAATACATTCTGAGTTTGGAACCAATATAGCTGTGCTTCAAGCGGTTATATGGATGCTTAACAAAAGCTCAAAGTACATAAATTCGAATATATGAAAAGTTTTAAAGATGTGTGAACTCATAAGAAAAAGTGAAGTCAATCAGGTAAAGAGAAAGATAGAATACTGTATATTTTTTAAAAAATAATATTTTTAAAATTTTCGGGGAATAATTGTAATGTATAAAGAGTTTGTATAATTTTTAATTAAAATGGTACAGAATGGTTTAGATATTTGCACTATTAAAGTTATATTTAGTATAACTGAGGCATTTTATAAGTTTTTATTAAATGTATGAAAGGCATTAAAGAAGCAATAAAAATCCATTAGACTTCCTTTTAGAATGAATGATTTTTTGATATTCTAAGCACTATCCCAATTATTACCACCATCACTTTCTGTATTACACTGAGCTATCTGTCGACAAACAAGAAGCAAATACTGAGCAAGGTGTATAGGCAGAAACATACTTTGCCTACACTTAAACTACATGACTCTAAGAATATTACTTTCTCATCTAAATAACCAATTAACATAATGAACACAAAACTATTTTGTAGAATTAGAAGAAAATATCAGCGTGGTTGTTAGTTCATTTGGTAATTCTACTGCCATCAGATACAGATTATGGGTTCGATAAGCAATTGGAGGTAAAACTCTTCTCAGATTAAAGAAACTAACATTCAACAATATGCCGTGCAAGCATTGATAATAGCACAGACTGATTAAGTAGCACTGGATTGTTCTAGTGAAAAGGTCTTCAAAAATGTCCTTTCATACAAATGTTAGAAAAATAAATAAAGTTCTCCTATGTATGTATAAAGAGATTAGCATTAAATTGCGAGTTAAAATTTAGAAGGTTTACTGGGTTGATTATATCATGAGAATGGAATACAAAGACACAATGAAAAGATTTTCAAAGCTGTTGTTGGAGGAAGAATATGTATGCGATGGAGTGATAAGGTTGAGGGAAAATAAATACTAATGAGATGATATATTTAATAATGTTTAATACAAATTTTATTAATTTAATAAAATAACACTTAAAATAAAAATAAACTTGTTCCGAAATATTTGTAAAAAACCAAGTAGAGTGTCTATCCTAATTCATTTATAATTTTATAATACGTATAATATTATTTTTGTTACAATCCAGAATATACTAAAACTAGACACCACCTAAGTGGTGAAGTCTTTGTCTACTAGGTACAGAGTATTCGTAACGAAGGAAAACTGAGTTTTTGATATACATTTAACAAAGACAACAGACATAAGTCTCTGAAGGACTCATCTTAATAAGTGATATTTCAGGTTACAGTGACATGTACTATAAAGTTATTATATTGAAGTCAACTCTTCTAAGCGACTAAAATACATTAATAGAACTTCCCATTGCTGGGACAAGGAAGTGTTTGATATTAGAACTATATTGTGTATATAATGCCTTCAATTGTAGAAGTACGCTTATCAAGAAAGTGTTAACATGTTGCATAGCTTTATTATTCATTTGAAAGCTAATATCATCTATGAGAACTATTTCGTTA